CGGAATTCTCTGTTCAAAGTCTCCTGGAGTACTAAGGCCCAAGTCAATCTGGACTGAACTGTTTCGGACAGTCTCTTCCTAAGGCCTATCTCGAGGTCGACTTCTTCCAATATGACCTGGCGGCGAAGGGTGTGACTATCTGGAGTCTGTCTACGTGAATATGACTCTCTCCGACTATAAACCTTCACTCACGCTCATGCTCAGAAACATACGTCTCTGGCGTTGTTTTCCGCCGCTTCATGGGTCTGCTGTCATCAGCCACCTCGTAGCTGGGGGAATAAGATGAGGTCATTCTACGCGAGTTGAGATCCGGATCAGCGACTCGAGAAACGAGGCCTATAGGGCTGTTTCGAGCTTGTTCTGCGTGTAGGTTGCCGCACAAACATTGATGCCGAATCACCGATGCAGCTCACTGACAAGATTTTCGGCGAAAAGAGGAGTGATGTGACGAACGCGTCGGTCACGCCTGGCCCTAAAGGTCACGTTGCGTCACGCGGAGACGCGGAACGCATGACGCAGCGCGCCGAGCTGTCGCGTGTCTCGTTCTGCCACCGGGGTCGCGTCTTACTCAGGCTCTACAGATATAACACTCAATTATGGGTATCAAAGGCCTCACAAGTCTCATTGCGGAGCATGCACCAAAAGCTATTACTGTACGCTAAATAATCGTGGAGGACAGGGGAGATAGACTGAACACTCGAGCAGGAGCATGACATCAAGACGCTGTTCGGACGTAAGGTCGCGATCGACGCGTCCATGTCAATCTACCAGTTTCTCATTGCCGTCAGACAAAAGGATGGAGAATTGTTAACAAATGACGCAGGAGAAACCACCAGGTGAGTGAATTCGACCCTCTTGAACGCGACATACGCTGAGTACTTCCTATCTAGCCATCTCATGGGGTTTTTCTACCGTACAATACGGATGGTAGAAAACGGCATTAAGCCTGCGTATGTGTTCGATGGCAAGCCACCAGAGTTGAAGGCTGGAGTGGTATGTAATTCCGTACCCTCGGTGACGCTGTTGAGTCATGGGTGTTTCGGTATGTTAGTTGTCGAAGCGCTTCGAACGTCGCGAAGAAGCCAAAGAGGAGGGAGAGGAGGCGAAAGAGACAGGTGAGTTCTTTGTATACTCCTTCCAGATTGTCCGATACTAATGTTTGTGCAGGTACCGCGGAAGACGTAGACAGATTCAGTCGCAGGACGGTCAAAGTCACGAAGGAGCACAACGAGGAATGCCGGCGGTTACTAGCACTGATGGGCATTCCCTTTGTCGTGGTACGTCGCAATACCCCATGACGGCGTGCCGGTTCCCTCACTGTGCTTGTCATAGGCTCCGTCAGAAGCTGAGGCACAATGTGCCGAGCTAGCGCGTGGTGGTAAAGTGCGTCCTGCCTGCTATCGTACTATTTGGACTTGCTCAACAGTGCGTCTCCATAGGTTTATGCAGCAGGATCAGAAGATATGGATACGTTGACTTTCGGTTCGCCAATCCTCCTCCGGCACCTCACCTTCTCTGAGGCTCGAAAGACGCCTATCAGCGAAATCAACCTCCAGAAAGCCCTTGAAGGTCTTGAAATGAACATGTCACAGGTGATACATGGCCCATGACGATTAGTCGAAATGCATGTTAACGCAACCATAGTTCATCGACCTCTGTATTCTCCTCGGTTGCGATTACCTCGAGCCTATCAAGGGAATTGGTCCCAAATCAGCTCTCAAGCTCATCAGGGAGCATGGGAGCCTAGGAGAAGTCATCGAGCATCTGCGCGAGAAGTATATAAATCTTTCTCTCTCAATTGCATCGTCACTCACCTCCGCCCATCTGGTAGGGCAGCCGAGAAACAAGAAGCTGCGGAAGATGGAAAGAAGAAGAAAGGTGGTATCCAGATCCCTGAAGAATGGCCTTGGGAAGAGGCAAAGAAAGTCTTCGAGAAGCCGGACGTTATGCCTGCAGATAAAGTCGATGTACGCGAGATCACCTGTCATGCAAGGAGTTGGATACTAATATATTTATACAACCCTTCAGATCGAATGGAAGAGTCCGGACGTCGATGGCTTGGTTGATTTCCTAGTGAGAGAGAAGGGCTTCAAGCAAGTGCACCTAACATTTCCCTTTCTCGCCTCACTAACCTGTTCACCCAGCGAGGAGCGAGTACGCAAGGGCGCCGAAAAGCTCACGAAGTTCCTCAATTCAAAACAACAAGGCCGGCTAGACGGATTCTTCTCTGTCAAGCACAAATCACCAAAGAAAGAGAAGGAGGACGAGAAACCCAAGGGAAAGGGCAAAGGTGCGGGAGCAAAGCGGAAGGTCGGTCGCATGCTGGCTTCTGTGCAGTCTACGTTGCTTACTATACAACGAGCAGGCCAGCGACGACAAGGACAAGAAAGAGGCGGGAAGCAGCAAGAAGGTGAAGACCAAGAAGTGATATCTACGCGTGCGTTTTGTTTCCAGGTCTTCATCTTGGGCGCTGAGGTTGCATACCATCATTCCTGTCTGCTACCAGCAATTTTGGTCCTACTGGCCTGTATTTATTCCCTGTGATACTGTATCAATAGATCCGCTCGCTTCCAGGAAGCTCTTGCTATCGCTGCTTCCTCATTCGTGCCAGGAATGCATTCGTTGAATCAAGCGGTAGTAAAGCCATATGCCTTACTGCCCTCTCCGAAACAATAGATCCAAAGATGCAACGACAGCGAGAATAGATTAGAGACCTATGTAGAGTTCGCCACCTATAGGCCTATTTCTTGGTGTTTAACTTCTCTATAGCAGTCCCACTCCTCACCCTTCTCTTAGGCTTATCCTTCTTCGCGGCCGAGCCCTTCTTCTCTCCGCGAGGCTTGCGCACACGCTCTCTGTCCGGCCTCGCCTTCACGCCTTTCTCCGCCAGCACTTTCGCCTTTTTCTTAGCCATACGGCGCGCCACGCGATCAGCATCGGCCGCCTTGACGCGCTTGCGTTCGTCCTTGGGCAGGTGCGATATCTTCGTACCAAGAGCCGGGTCGCCCTTAGGTGCGGACTGCGATGGCCACGACTTTCGCACTTTCGCAGCGGAGGCAGGTGCGGCGTCGGGCTTGGCGGACTTCGTGGGCTTGGAGACCTTGGTGCTCCCGGGCACGGTCTTGCAACGCTGCACACGGAGCTTGCGCTTTGCGAACTTGAGATGCTCTGGCTCGAGCGCGATGATCTCGTCGACACATTCCCGGTCCTGTCCGGCGCAATGTCATCCTCATGAGTTGAATTAAGGGGGAAGTCCTGTAGGAGCGACATACCGCAAACTGGACATACGCGAAGCCCTTGCCAAGCAGCGTATCCTTGTCCCTGATGATGCGCACCCGCTTCACCCACGTCTTCGGCTTCTTCGGCTTAACACCCTGCTCATCTCTTGGCTTCTCCTCGTCCTCCTCATCGCTCGCGTCCGAGTCCGCCTCGCCGGTTGGCGGGCCCCTCTCCGCACTGACGACCCCTTCAAAGAATACCCGCAAATCCTGCTCCTTGCTCGCAAAGTCCAGATTGCCCACAAAGACCGTTGCCTTCGGGTCCCCCAGACCCATCTTGAGCTCCCGCGTGCCACTTTCGTCGGCCTTGCCGACCCGGTCGACCCGCAATGTCCGCTCCATGAATTCACTTCCGTCGCAGCGCTCCGCCGCAAGCCGCGCGGCTTCGTACGGTTCCATGACGGGCGCCGGAGGCGGGAGGTTCGCGGGACGGTCCTCCGCCACAGGCGGGGGGTGCGCGAACACGACATACGCGTTGACAGAGTCGACGCCGTCGTGCAGCTCGTGCTTGATGAACGCGACACGCTTCTTCTCCTTCGGGGTCATCGCCATCTTGCGCTCGGGCTCGTCCTCTCCGTGCGTCGCGCGCCAGGAGGCGGCGCGCTCACGGTCGTGCTGTCGGCTGGCTTTCTCGTTGCTTGCACTCTTGTCTTGGGCCTTGGTGCTTCCGTCCAGGGAGGGGAGCGCGGCGGTAGGCTTGTTGAAGGCGATAGAGCGGAAGCGGACAGATTCGATCTTTGCAGTTGGCACAAAAGAGAGTATATGTTTCTGAAGCTGCTTCTGCAAAGGCTGTATACGTAAGGTTGTGGGTGAGACACAGCATCCTAGCACTGAGACTGAATCTGGACCCACTCTGCTCTTCGCCACCTCAATTGCAACGTTCCCCACGAAGATGGTGCGCGCATCCCGACGTTGAGGGGTCTCATCCTCGGGAATGAATCTCTTCTTTTTGCGGCCTGCGCCTTTCTTGGCACCTTTTGAGACGGATTCATGGACGAGTTGAGGCGCGTCGCCTTCGCTGTCAGAAGAGCTCGAATCGTCCTCGGAGTCCTCGTTCGCTACCGAGGCGGGCTTCGCACGTTTGTGACCTTTCCCGCTTGATTGTTGGACTGTGCTAACCGGCGCGTCGACTTCAGACGACTCGCTGTCCTTGGGTGGCTGAGGAGCGACGACTTTAGTACGTTTCGCGGACTTCGTGGGGGACTTCTGCCGGTCTTTTCCATGGTGTTCTACTGTGACGGTTGACTCTTGAGGGCCGTCCACAGAAGTTAGCGTACATACAGCCTCTACGAATGGATCTTACTCACCCTGAGCCCTTTCTTTTCCAATCCTTGACTTCTTCGCTTTCGCGGATGTGGTGTTCTCCGTATGTTTCCTCTTCTTTCCATTCGCCCCGTCAGAGACAGGCTCGGCGACAACCTCGACCTTCTCGGTAGACGAAGTGGAGGGACCAGCCTCAGGGAGCTTGGTGGGGGCGTGAATACACATTATATCGTCCGAATTAGAGATAGGAGCCACATACTGTCGAACGAAAGAGATTGTCGAGTTCCTTGTCGATGACATCTTGTTTCTGGACCCGCGCCGCGCCGAGCAGGAAAGACGAGAGACTCATGGTGAGATGTGATCGAGTACAGAGGTTGCTTTTCCAAGAAACTCATCTGCGCTGCTATGAGTGAGTAATGTGCGCGCAAGTTATTATGCTCCGTCGCATTGTAATGTAACGGCCGACTGGCGAAATGGCATCGCGTCTGACTACGACTTGGTTGTAATCAGGAGATTGCAGGTTCGACCCCTGCGTCGGTCATCTCCAGAAAGTCGCGCAAATTTTTGCCTCGATCCAGTTACATATTCAGTTGGAGTAAAGTCAGAACATCATATTGTCCTCCAGATGCGAATTCGCGCTGACAATTTGCCCATCCGCCTATACGTATCACTCTACCAGAACCTACAAGTCACCCTGTATGCAAAGAACCACAATACCCGACACGATCGTACGTTGCTATTCCTCCCGTACAATCCATCCTGTCGACTGCAATCTCACGCGAGCCCCTCGCTTGCTTTCCATGCGTTGTAGTAAATTTCGAGATGATCCGTCAGCCCAGCCTTGCGAGGCTGCCACCCGAGCAACGAACGTGCGAGATACGGACGAAGAATACAAGTCGTGCACAACGCAGTCTCAAACACTGCAATTTGTCAGCCAAGCCCTGAACACACTGACGAGAGGTAGACCCACGATTGCTTGGCGAGATGTACTCGTACCCCTTTGCGCCGGAGACATCGACGAGCTTCTGCAGAAAGTCATCCACGCTCTCGGTGACGTCGTTCGACCCGTCGAAGATCATGCCGCCGACGGTTGCCGACTTCTCCGCAACCAGGCGGTAGAGCTCGGCCAGGTCGTCCGTGTGGATGAGCGCGAACCTCCCACCGGGAGTGCCGAACCATGCCGCCTTGCCCTCGTAAGCGTGCTTGAATGCAAATCCGAGCAGCGAGGCAGAGCGTCCGTACAGCAGGGACGGGCGGATGACTATGCCGTTGAGGACCGGACTCTTGACGACGCGCTGCTCCTGCTCCGGCCGCCAGCTGACGAGCTCTATGCAAGAAGTGATAGGGGTGGTGTCGGTCTTGACCGTCCTCCGGTCATCACCGTGCACCCAGGTCCCAGAGGTATAGATGTACGTGAGCTTCGGCGCATGGGTCGGACGGAGCTGCTCCGCGGCCGTGGTCGTCGCAGTGAGGATCGTATCAGAAAGCGTCTTCAGCTCAGCACCACCGACGGCATCGATGACTGCATCGAGAGAGGGGATGAGATAGCTCCAGACGGAAATGTCGCCGTAGTTGCCAATAAGGGGGATGACTGACAGATTAACGAAGTCAATGTCCTGCACTGAGGCCGGTTACGCGCAGTTGATTGACCCACTTTCTTCAGCTGCGAGTAGCTTTGCCTTGCTCTCTGAGCGGGTAACACCATACACGACATGTCCTGCACGGACGAGTGCCTGAGCGGCGGGTAAACCAATGAAACCAGAAGCACTATGAAGGACATAATCAGCCTGTTGAAGTGTGTAAGGGAGGGATTGCAAGTCGACTCACCCGAGGATGATAACCTTCATCTCAAACGTGCGGGCTAGTTGGTGTACTTCGATTGGTATTAGAATGGGAGAGATGTGAATGCCTGCAGCTTCGAAGAGTGGCCTTTTTATACCTGGGCATGAAGCGTTCCGCTGCCCGTTCCGTCGTCATCGATCTTCTCGACTTCTCTCTCCCATAGCGCACTGTGAGCGAGTCATGAATAAGCATTCTCACTGCTGCATCACCTGCTGCCTGCTGCCACCCAGATGACTCGAGGACAACGACGATACGCTCGGTCAGGTTGCGAGCACCACCAGGGCGGCGATAGCATTGGGGATAGCACTCTATGTATGCGTACCGTCAGCGCGACTTCCAAGTCGAGCTTGTTGTGCTACTGCCGCGACGGCATGCTATAATTCGCAAAGCATTCCGTTATAGCTGGTCGCGTCGATGGGAAATCCTTAGGAATTATACACAAGCAACGCCCGCATGAGAGAAGGCCTCAAGCACGCCACATCATTCATTGCTACGAGGACGTACCTTGACGCACAGTCGTTGTACGGCCGGCAACGACACGCGTAGCGCTCGTTATCAGGACGGCGACAAGCCTCGGAGCTCTACAGAGGTTTGGAAATGTATGTAGGGCCGTGCTCAGGCAGTCAACGGGGAGGCAGTGGTCTCTGGTATGGCAGAAGCGCAGACTCCATATCAACGAAAATCGAGTCCAACGCATTGGTATGCCCACAGATCATCAGAGAAATGATCAGCTTGGACCTTGCGGAATATTGCTAATATTGCATGTTCCGAGATGAAGTTCATAAGCGCCCTCAAGCTCAAGCAGCTTGCCTGCCTGGCTCAACGCATGACAAATTCAGACAGAACCCTCGCCTCAAAGTTAGTACGAAAGGCGATCGTGGAGGCGCTGAATTATTCGTTGATGTGCTCCCGCCCTGTCCCGCCGCCTGTATGTCAGACTCGCGCGAACAGCTATGCAACTTGCTGAACGACGATCGTGTCTGCACCAGCAAGAGGTGCGTTCAAAGCTGGCGCGGCGCGCAGGTCCAGAGGCTGAGCAGTCACCTAATCATCCCACGGCGGCTTCCTAAGTAGGAGTGTAATAGCGTACCATGTGACCGTTCTAATTAGATGGGGTTCCGCGCTATCGTCTTACCCGCAAAGAGTGAGCTGAAGATATCCTGGCGCTTTGCACAGCTGGCTACCGTGCTCGCCGGCATTTTCCCGCTCGGCACTATGGCGCTGCCGGTGGCTGACGTTCCGCTCGTCTCCGCCACTCATCCGACATTTCCGATGCCCGCCCGCTGTTGTCCATTTTCGTCTACTGTCTCACGCCCGCCCGACGTGCGCTTTCTCCTGACCGACG